ATTTTTAAAATGCTAGTTTTGAAAATTAAAATTACGAATGTTTAGATAATCTTATTATATTTGATTTTTTTTCTTTTTTTTGAATTTTTATGTTTAATGATAAAACTCCTAAACTAAAGATTTACCGGTAGTACTGGTAATTATGACCGGCGAGGGTTTAATTTCTAAATAAAGTTAGTTTGGGGTTTTTTCCATTAAATACTTAGTTTAGGGGTTTTTACCCAAAACAAACTTAGTTGAGGGGTTTTTATGTTAAAAATCCATTTTTTTTTTTTATCTTTGTTTGATGCAATCATGGAAACCCTATATTCTCATTTAAATTACACATACGTGAAGATGTAACGTGTTTAGGTCTAATTAAAAAATGATGTAATCCCCTATATATTAATTGAGAAACATTTGAAAAAATATAACCACAAGTTTGTAAAAATTAAAAAGTAATCTTGCTTAGTTGTCAATCAATTAGCATACCAATTAAACTGACGTGGCAGCTTTAGGTTCAATTGAAATTTGCTAGGGAAACAATAATTACAGACGCATGTAACGCATGTAACCGAGTTTACATTAATATATATATCCCACGCATGTAACCGGGTCATAACATCTGCGGACACATTAATACATGCCATGAAAGAAAAGGAAAATATACGAAATCATAATTATAGTAGGTAATTGATAACGATTTGCATATATTAACTATAACTTCATTCCTTTTAATTTACGGAAGTGTATATGTAAAATGGAAAATACTTTGTGACCAAATTCAAACTTAATGGTAAAGGCAAGTGTATATGTAAAATGTAAAACTTGATATGTTAACTTAGGAATTTATGTAAAAATTAATATATGCAAATCGTAAATCCCCTATATATTAAAAGAGAAACATTTAAAAAATTATAACCTCATTTTGTAATAATTAAAAAAGAACTCATGCTTAGGTGTCACTCAATTAGGTAGTCAATTACATTCAATTGAAAAATAAGTAGGTCCACATTTGATTTTTATATATCACTAGATACAATTGTTAATCAAACTATATGATATGATGATAATATATGATATTTATGATAGAAGCATTTATGATTGTTCCACTAGATATAATTACTATTTTATTTTCTTTCCTTAAATAAAACCTACGGAATTACCATAAATGACTAATATATATATATATATATATATATATATGAAAATTAATGTTTCTAATAATAAATATTAGATAACAATTTATATCCCCTCCATCATTTCTCTTTAATTTTATATTATTAAAATAAATTGAACAATCAAATTAGATATAAAATTAAACTTTAGATTTTTTCGTATATGTTATATTTTAAATTTTAAAAAGAATAATAAATGACTAAAACTATTAAAATTGTTATGTTAAAAATTAATGATCAATAGTTTAACATTTCTATTATAAAAAGATACACATGATTTAAAACTGTATGAGTAAAAAGTATTATTCAATAATAAAAAATATATATATATATATTGATTAAACTATATACCATATAAGATTACATAATTATTTTAGTTTCAAAAATTTCAATGAATTTTCAAGAACATTTATAAATTATAAACTTATTAAATTTTTCACATTGAAATTTTTTGTTATCAATGATTTAAATATCTTAGTTCTTTTTTTTAATTTTATATTTTTTAAAAATATTAAACAATCGATAATATGGTTATTGTTGGCATATACCATACAAACCGAATGGATATGATTTTATAAAAACCGTAGGATTTGGATATGGATATGGTTTGATTTATAACCGATTAAACTGAAACATGTAAATATGTATATCTATTTGTTACATGAGTTGAACTATAATTATAATTTGTAAATCACTTGAATCACTTGAACTATAATTAACTAACAATTTACTGCAACTAAGGGTTCTTATTTTCTTGATCTTTTTTTTTTGCTTTTTTGATCTTTTTTTTTTGCTTTTTTAACAGTAACTAAATTGAAGTAAAGATTATAAATTTGATAGACAACAATTAGCTGAAAGTCTTTACAATTTTTTTTAATCTTTAAACAAACAGAGTTGTGTTCAATCGAAGACATATTAAATTGATGAACACTAAATATGGAAGAATATAAAAAAATTTCTTTCATGCTTCTGTTTTGTTTTTTATTTTTATTTTCAAAATTTAGAGCTTTGATATTAATTCTAAATTTGATCATTTTATTAGATGATAGAAACTTTTTTTGTTTTTTTTATTCTTTTATTTAAATATATAATATTTTTTTAGTAAATGACTTTTTGAGAATTTGACTCTAAACATGATCATATTATTTATGTTTATAATATATAATATGATCTCAAACTAAATAATTATGTTTTTTGCTATATAATTGAATAAACTGAAAACCAATATATAAACCAAATCAAGCTGAAGTAAATATGGATTTAAAATAGTAGTTATATTTAAAAACCGAAATATCAAAAAATCGAACCGAACCGAAAACCGATATCTGGATTGAACACCTCTAATCCAAATGAAACCGAACTATTGTTTCATTTTCCAAAACATAATAAAATAATAATTTCATCCCAAGCAAGGCGCGGATCTTATCCTAGTTGGGTTAATTATATGTGTTTGGACGATCATATGATATTTGCTTCCTTGTTCTTTTTGATTAATGTTTGCGTTAATTGCTAAGAGATCGAATTCTCCAATTACACTCTTGTAGAATACATGAGATTAAAGTTACATTGGATTTTGTTTCTGAAGAGACTCGTGGCGTTTTAATCAGTAAGTAAATGAAAGAAGAAAAAATCATGTGTAGAAGTAAAAAAAAAAAAACTTCAAATAAATAGTGCACAAGAATAAACCTGTTTATATAATAAGAGATAAGTAGATACATCTTCACAAAGAGCTCTAAAGAATAATTAGAGGAGCCTTGGCTGCTTGTATAATCTTCATCCAAGCTCTTCTTCATCTCCATATTTAATCTGAAACAACGGTTAACAAGATCATAAATATTACAAAAGTAAATCTGTAAGGATAAAACATCTCAAGTAAAAAAACAATCTCATGACACTTACTTTTAGATAATAATCTCATGACAGACAATGGAGAAAGCATAACTCTGTTTCTCTTCTGCTGGTTTAGTGTTTATGGTTTTCTGAGTAAGAGATCTGCAGCTGCAGCTGTTTTCTTCTGAAGCTCTGAGGTTTCAGCACCAACAAGTTTATCCATTTGTCTCCCATCTTTAAGGAACACTATAGTTGGTGTAGCTTCTACATTCCATTCATCACTAAACTCCTGTTTTTGTTCAATCTCAAAACTTTAAACTTCATCTCAACAGAGCAATGAATCTTCTCAAAAGACACAAGATTACTTACAGCGAGTTCTTCCACATCAATGGTTACAAATATCATTGAAGGGTATCTAGAAGCAAGTTCTCTGAATACTGGCTCTATCTTTTTACAAGGCACACACCACGACGCGCTGAAAAACACCACAAGCTGTTTGATTGATTGAAAGGTTAAGTTCGATACTCAGATATAGAAAAAGAGGAAACTTGTTGAACAAGAAAGCTTACAATCTTGCCATTGTTGTTAGCTTCTGAGATCTTTTCTTCCCATTTCTCGATTCTGGTTATTGAATAGACATTTCCTTTAGACCCGTGTTGGCTTCTTGCTCGAGCCTTGTTGTTGCTGCAGCAGCAGCAGCATAGACATGACCACAACTGTAAACATATGGAGTTTCATGTTACGTCCGTGTTTCTTAACATAGATTCTTCATCTTATCTCTGAATCTATGTCTAATGAAACATCGAATCTACAAGATTCAACTACAAGATGTTGAGTATATTCAAAGATTTGAGAGAAAATATTATCAAAATAAGCTTTATGAAGAGCAAGTCATGCATATAGACACAAGTGAAACATAGACAATATGATCCACATAAGAGGTGGTGTACAAAGGATAAGTCTCCAAAATTGTAAAGAAAATTTAAAATTCTTCATAGCTCAAAATTCTCACGACATTTCCTAGTTTTATGCATTACCTTTGTACAACAAGGGGTTCTAGCACAGCGATTTCCCATCAACTCTTTAAGCAATCAACTCCAGATTTGCTTCTCATTAGCTCAAGATTAACCAAAATGAAAAGCTTTGTTTCTTGAATTGTCACGACAATGTGTGTCCTTTATTGAATCTAGGTATATGACTTGCGTCCTTGGATTCAGAATAGTTTCACCCTAAAGGCATGAGATGGAAGGTCACAGTTTTCTGTGAAAGATTGAAAGAAAAAACAAGAAGAGTCCAGATAAGGTGGGAGTCATAATCACAAGAACATTCGATTAAAGCAATAAAGACGTTTTTTGTTTTTGTTTTGTATTGTGTTCTTCGTTGGAAAACAATATCTTCTTCACGATACATATGGTTTTGATTAACCATAATAGCTGATTGCTAATTTTGTAAAATAGAATGATTAGTCTCATGCAGACAACCTTTGACTCTTTGGTTTCTCTATTGGTTTCTTTTGTGCTTAACCCATTACTAACCGGAAGAGACAAATTTTTTTGCCCCTCCCTCAATCCAAAACCGGTTTACTTAAGACACAAACCAACCTTCTGCTGCCTATTCCAAAACTCTATGCAGCAACATTGGATGATCATTGAGAAGCCAAACTTGCACCTTCCTTCTTTGAACCACAGTGTGAAAAGAACAAACAACACACACAACAACACTGGTATCCGACTTTAATTAGATATCTATCAATAATATTTCTACGCTTTAAAGTAGTATTTCTCACTTTAAATAAATAATTATATTTTTGTGCCTTAAATGATGTGTTATCAATTATCATCTGTGAATATAATTAGCTCTAAGCAATAACCGCTATGGTATAATAACAATTATCCAATTATCCATATTTGTTGGGCTTTTGGAGCCCACTAAGAATAGCATACGGCGAAATATGAGATTCAGACATAAGTGTGTATGAGGTGGCAAGATATGAGTGGTTGGAAGAAACAGATTCGCGGGACGAAGTGGTTGCACAGTGGACGACGGCTGGACCTACCCTATAAAGAAATATAGGGTTCATGACATGAGCCACAACCACCACCACCACCACCACCGAGTGGCGATTCTCTCTTCTCATATCTCACCAGTCATGGCTTCAGAGAAAGAGGCTGCTTTAGCTGCCACTCCTTCCGATTCTCCGACCATGTAAGCCTTTATTATTGGTCCGATCTGCCTTTTTCTTCTATTCTTCATTCCTTCTTCTTCTTGTGAGCCATTTGTTTGATACATGTTGGACTGCGTCACATAGATCATCGGTTGAAAACTGAGATTGTTTGGGATGGAATCTTTTAACCATAGTGATAAAAATCGAAACTTTGAATTTGTATTTTGGGTCTATCTCTACAAGCGTTGATGTCTTCTTCGACTTTACCGTTGGAAATGATTTGCTTCGATGAAAAAGAATTAATATTTTTATCTGAAAAAAAGGAGTAGTAATTTAGCAAAACTATTTAAGTTTTGTCTGTACTCTGTGATGTTGTTGTGAAGTTAGTTATTCCGACCGAACACTTTCTGTTAGCTTATGTTAATGATGGAGCAGACTAGTTGTCATTTTGTAGATAGAAGAGTGAAGCTGTTGCACAAGTCATAGAGATAGAGATCATCCCTGCTTTTTTTTTCTATTTATGGGTACTATCATCTTTCTTGGAAGACTTGAATTGTCTTGTTGTGCTGGATTTGATGTTAGCATTTTATTTTTTGGTAATGTTGGAACATGCAGATTTGACAAGATCATCAGTAAAGAAATTCCATCCACCGTGGTCTATGAGGATGACAAGGTACCTTTACTATTCTGTAACCTTTTTTATTTATTTTACTCTCTCTTTTATTGTAGCATCTGGAATATCTTTACATCTAGCGATACTATAAACTAGCCATGTGCAAAATGTGACATAAGTATTTCTATGCTATGCATGTTAAGTTAAACTTGGTCTCTTCATGACTGTTTATGTGGTTCAGCAAGCATCAGTAATTGAGATAGTCTCTTAGGGAAGTTAGTGTTTGTCCAGTATCTGTCTACCCAGCTCAAGTTACTCTCTATTCTCAGCAACTAGATCTTGTACTTACTGTATAGTCTTTGGATTTTAAGTTTGTTTGTCATGATTTCAGTTAATCCCTGAATAGATTCACCACTGTAAAGCTATTCAGTAGTTGTACATACTTCATTATCACTGTCCCTGGCATGTTTTCTCAAAATCATTGTGCATTATTATGCAGGTCTTAGCTTTTAGGGACATAACTCCCCAGGGTCCTGTTCACATCCTCCTCATTCCAAAAGTGAGGGATGGCTTGACTGGCCTCTCCAAGGTACCTGATTCACTTACACCTGTCCAAGTTGAAACCCTTAAACAAATTCAGACAGAATTAAATCTGAAAGCATTCATTAAGAAACACTAGCTAATACGTGTAATTGTTATACGACTGCAGGCTGAGGAGAGGCACATCGACGTCTTGGGCCGCCTTCTCTACACTGCCAAGCTTGTAGCCAAACAAGAAGGCCTAGATGAAGGTTTCAGAATTGTGATCAACGATGGTCCTCAAGGCTGTATGTAGATTTACTTCGTCAAATAGCATATTCACATGAAACAAAGGGACATCATTGATGCTAATCACCTTCTTGTGTATTTTATTTTTCAGGTCAATCGGTGTATCACCTTCATGTCCATCTCATTGGAGGACGCCAAATGAACTGGCCTCCTGGCTAAAAAGATCTCATCATCTACTAGTGATTGATGTCCTGGTTTTAAGAGGCACCCTACCCTTGAGTTTGCTATTATCTTCTTCTTCTGTCTTTATGAATAAAAGGCTTGGGACATAACTTTTGTGATTGTTATGCTAAACCTTATGGTATGAAAAGAATATTTGACTGTTCTATTTTCTGGAACCCTTCTTTCTATTGTTGACTTTCTAAAAACATTTGAAAGGTAATAAGGGGTTGAATAATTGAGTCAAGATTTGGGAGTTTTTGGTGTAATATTTCCCCCGTAGTGTAAAAATCTTTGGTGTAATAGTTACCTTTAAAAAAAGCAATTAAAGAATATGCCTTGTAATATTCTTTAAGCCTTCTACTATAACTACTTGAAAGTTTGGTAAAAGTTGTAAACCAAGTCTAGGAAGTGTTGAAGTGTAAGAGTTCTCTCTCGAATTGTAATTTCTTTTGAGTGAATATGTTTTTGATATAAATACTTGCTTCTCTTTAACATTCCATACTAAATATTTTATTGATCATAAAAAATCTTGTACCTGTTATGTGTTTGTAAATTGTGAATATATACGAGAGAGCCATCTTTGAGGAATACCAAAGACGCATGAATTGACCTTGTAAACATTCAAATACGTGTTATGAGCATCTATCTGCACACAATATTTATTATATAAGAACTTGGTTGTCACGTCTTTGCTCTTTTTATATGTAAAAGATTTATTTCTTTCCATCTGATCAAGTCATCTCACAAGAATCATATCTCATCTTAGATTTTTTTTTCCAAGTTAACGATTCTGATTCATGGAGGAGGCGAAACCGAAAAAGACCTTGACCGGCAGTAGCAGCAGAGAGTCATTGAAAACCAAGAATCCATTTAGCCGTGTGCTCAACGACGAAAACGATGGCAAAAGCAAGACAGGATTGTCAATGAGGAAGTCTTGGTCCACGGACTCGCTTGGTCTCCTCGGTAGCAGCAACCCTTTGGGGAAGACATGCATATGTGCTCCAACAAAGCATGAAGGGTCCTTCCGTTGTAGGCTTCACCGTACATCGGCCACAAGCCAAGGTGGTGCAGGTACTATGCCACTTAATCTCCCTAAGCCCTTGCTTCCTTCTAGTCGTTTCAATGACTACTAGTCCTTTGTGTTGTTCACATAATCAAAATGAAAACCAGTTTGGTATGACCGTGGTCTGATTGAATATTGTTTACAGTCTCTTGTTATTCACAAAACCATTATGGTGTGGTATTTTCTTTTATACATGTGATACACATTGTAACTCATGTGTTTGTGTCTGTATGTGTATGTTAATGCTGTTTTTTGACTGGTTGATTTGTTTTGATTAATTATAAGGCAAGTAGAACAAGATAGTTAAAGAGAAATAAATACAACATCCCCGGGGGACCACTAGTTCATAAATAAAGTAGCAAATACATTACAGTTTACAATTGAAAATCTAGAGGAAAGTCTTTGCCCAGCTTTTGTTTCATTTCAGCCAGTAACCTTTGTTTTTCAGCCATTAACCTTCGGCTTTCGGCCAATTCAGCCAACATCTTTGCTTGTTCGTTCTCCAATGCTTTGATCTGGTCATCTTTGTTCTTGAGTTGTTCAAGAAGCTCAGGAGGGTACAGAACTTCCTCAATCTTTCGCTTCTGCACACCGCAAACAAAAACAGAACAATTTACAAAACCAAATATCAATCAAAATGAAAAAAAGAAAAGAGTATTTTTGAATTTACAATACTAGAAAAGAGTAAAGCACCTTCTGCATCTTCTTCAGCAGCTCCAGAAACCAATTACTGAAACAAGTAAACTTTAAAACATAAGAGTGAAGAAAAATCGGAAATTTATCTAACCAGCAACATTGAAAGTAAATGGCACATAAAGGTGTGGACTTTCAATAAGTAGCTTGTAGATGATAAGGACCCTAAACTCTAGACGACGAAAATACATCAGATTTTAATTTGCTCGACTCTCGAATCGTTTGATTTAAACCACATTCAGATATTTCAAGAGACTCGAGGTAGGAGGAGGTATGACAGACAAGCACAACTCTTAACCAAAGTGTTCACTTCTGTCTTTGTTTCTCAAGGAGATTAGGAAACTTACCGTATGAAGAAAGGGGAGATAGTGACTTCGGCGACTGTAAACTTTACTCTCTTTGTTTAGGTTTTCTGTCCTTTCTTTTCATCCGGTTCTCTAAAACCTTAATTGATATAGTTTCGGTTTACGCTATTCGGCCACGGCTGTTGAAGTTATTGAACCTGTACATTTAGCTTTGGTATTCTGATAATAGTTTGGGTTTGGAGTGTAAGCTCAAGGTTTGTGAGCTTGTTCCTGTTAAGATGAGAGTGTATTACACAGTGCGATGATTGTGTAACACAGTGCAATAAGTTTCGTACGTGTAATGACGTGGCGTAAACTTATGGAAATAGAAGATATTGCTTGGGTGCGAAGCAAAGAAGATCTTCTGGTTGGCGATATTTTAGGAAATAGAATATTGTCTTTTTCATGCCTACTTAACGAGGCAACCTAAGAGAGTTTTAGGTAAGGCGTTAAGAGAGAAAAAGCTAGAGCAAGAGAGTTGTTCTTGTCGGCTACATAGATCGAGAAAACAGGGGTTTGGCTTGGGTTTCTGTAACTTAGAGATTAGGAACTGGTCCGTCGCTAGTCGTGTGTGACTGAGCTTAAATCGGATTAAACAGTTCTAGGAAGATTGTTTAAAAGGTTTCTAATATACAAGAAGTGTTCTTGAATAACTTGTGTACGGTTCTTATTTGCGTGTCTCTGAACTTTCATTTGGTATCAGAGCGGGAAACCTCTGTGGTATCAAGTACTACTAACAGGTTGAGATCCTGCGGATTTCATGGACACCATGAAAGAACTCCTACACATACACAAGCCTATTATGCTTGACAGTACCAACTTCAGTCACTGGAAGGTGAGGATGCAACACATCATCAGAGGAGTTGATGAAGATGCTTGGACGTCTGTAGAAGATGGTTGGAGTGCGCCCACTGTCATCCTCGAAGATAAGACTGTCGGTCCAAAACCTAAAAATCAGTGGACTGATGGTGAGAAGAAAGCATCAAAATTCAACTCCAAAGCCCTAACTCACTACAAGAAAACTAAACATTTACTAGGAAACTTTACTAGGAAAATAATTCCTCGTAAAATTACTACGAGTTTACTTCGTGTTTACGAGGAAACCATGTTTCCTCGTAAGGTTCTCGTATACTTACGAGAAAACAGTTTCCTCGTAAAGTCGTAGTAACATTACTAGGACTTTACGAGGAAAAAAACGCGGGCATAGCTATTTCCTAGTAAAGCAGTTTCCTCGTAAAGTCCTAGTAATTGCTTACTACGAAATTAAGAGGAATGAGTTTTGTTACTAC